TTTTTTTTATATGTATGGGGGGAGTAGATGTGTATTAGGCTCCATTCACACCTGTATCTTTAGGTGCAATTAGGGATTTTTGCATCAGGCCACCTGACATCCCCACAGCGTACCTGAGACTCCACACATCCCACCTGAGACGCCGCACATCCCACCTGAGACTCTGTACAGCCCACCTAAAACTTTGCGCAGCCCACCAGAGACCCCACCAGAGACTCTGCGCAGCCCACCAGAGACTCTGCGCAGCCCACCAGAGACTCTGCGCAGCCCACCAGAGACTCTGCGCAGCCCACCAGAGACTCTGCGCAGCCCACCAGAGACTCTGCGCAGCCCACCAGAGACTCTGCGCAGCCCACCAGAGACTCTGCGCAGCCCACCAGAGACTCCGCGCAGCCCACCAGAGACTCCGCGCAGCCCACCAGAGACTCCGCGCAGCCCACCAGAGACTCCGCACAGCCCACCAGAGACCCCACCAGGCCACCTGAGCCGCTATAACAGCTTTAACTCTTCTGGGAAAGCTGTCCACAAGGTTTAGGAGGGTGTCTATTGGAATGTTTGACCATTACACCAGAAGCGCATTTGTGAGGTCAGGTACTGATGTTGGACGAGAAGGCCTGGCTCGCAGTCTCCGCTATAATTCATCCCAAAGGTGTTCTATCGGGTTGAGGTCAGGACTCTGTGTAGGCCAGTCAAGTTCCTCCACCCCAAACTCGCTCGTCCATGTCTTTATGGACCTTGCTTTGTGCACTGGTGCTTAGTCATGTTGGAACAGAAAGGGGTAATTCCCAAACTGTTCCCACAAAGTTGGGAGCATGACATTGTCCAAAATGTCTTAAGAGTTCCTTTCACTGGAACTAAGGGGCCAAGCCCAACCCCTTAAAAAACAAACCCACACTATAATCCCCCCTCCACCAAACTTTACGCTTGGCACAATGCAGTCAGGCAAGTACTGGTCTCCTGGCAACCGCCAAACCCAGACACGTCCATCGGATTGCCAGACAGAGAAGCGTGATTCGTCACTTCAGAGAACATGTCTCCACTTCTTTACACCACTGCATCTGACGCTTTGCATTGCACTTGCTGATATAAGGCTTGGATCCAGCTGCTTGGCCATGGAAACCAATTCCATGAAGCTCTCTACGCACTGTTGTTGTGCCAATCTGAAGGCCAAACGAAGTTTGGTGGTCTGTAGCTATTGACTCTGCAGACAGTTGGTGACTTCTGCGCGCTTCAGCATGCGCTGACCCCGCTCTGTCATTTACGTGGCCTACCACTTCGTGGCTGAGTTACTGTTGTTCCCAGTTGCTTCCACTTTCTTATAATACCACTAACAGTCGACCGTTGAATATTTAGTAGCAAGGAAATTTCACGGATGGACTTATTGCACAGGTGGCAACCTATCACCGTACCACGCTTGAATACACTGAGCTCCTAACAGTGACCCGTTCTTTCACAAATATTTGTGGAAGCAGTCCGCATGCCTAGGTGCTTGATTTTTTTTTATACCTGTGGCCATAGAGATGACTGAAACACCTAAATCCAATTATTTGGAGGGGTGTCCCAATACTTTTGGCAATATAATGTATATCCAGGCTTTAGAGCAGCATATGCTCCCATCCAGACAACGTCTTTTTCAGGGAAGGCTTTGCATATTTTAGCAGGACAATGCTAAACTGGATCTATGACAACAGCATGGCTGTATAGTAGAAGAGTTAAGCTGCTTAACTGGCCTGCCAGCAGTCCAGACCTTTCACCAATTGAAAATATTTGGCGCATCTTAAAAATTAAAAATACAACAATGAAGACCCAGGATTGTTGAGCAGTTAGAATCCTATATTAGGGAAGAATGGTACAACATTCCTCTCCCAAAACTCCAGCAACTGTTCCCAGATGTTTACAGAGTGTTGTTAAAAGAAGAGGGGATGCCAACTCATGGTAAACGTGGCCCTATCCAAACTTTTTTTAGATGTGTTGCTGCCAAAATTTACCTTATTTTCTTCTTAAAATGGTACATTTTCTCTGTTTAAACATATGTTTTCTATTGTGAATGAAATATGGGTTCATGGGATTTGCAAATTATTGCATTCTGTTTTTATGTAGATTTTACACAGTATCCCAACTTTTTTGGCATTGGGGTTGTATTTTTAAAAAAGGGTCACCAATGGCTGCCCACACAATTCTGTAAGTAGAGGTTCCCTTTAATTTGATTGTCTGTTGGTGCATCTCTTGTTGAGTCTTAGTATTTAGTTATTGCGCTGCGGCGACATATTGATTCACTTGCTATCTGTTCAGATATAAATTACTTGTGTATTCATATTTTTTGTACAATATTTCAGATTCTTAGCCTAACTTCTTTGGTTTGTTGCTTACTTTGTGGCAGCTGGAATTTGCAGTTCAGATGACATGTGGAAAGTGTGTTGATGCAGTAAAGAGCTCCTTACATAGTGTTAAAGGTAAGCTGCAGCAATCCGACCTTCCTCATATATAGCTTTGCTTCATGTTGATGCTTAAAGTAAACTTGTAACAGATCTGGTCAATTCAAACCGAGCATGTCATAAAAAAATGCATAAGCAGAGATTTCCTTCAAAAATAATCATGTGTGATCTCTACATCAGGATACAGTCCATGAACCCATTGCACTCAAAACCGCTGTTCTTTATAAAAGACGGGTGCTGCGGCAGTCGACGGATGGCAACCGTCTATAATCACAGGATAACATAGATACTGGCACTCCAAGTAATGAATCAATGGAGTCTGTTTATTGACACATGAAACATAGCACAATGCATCAAAAAGCAACGTTTCGGGGGCTCACAAGATCCCCTTCATCAGGCAAAATGAGTGATGCAAATACAAGTGAAACTATATACATATATACACACTATACTGTGGAAATGAGCCAATCCCCTAGTCTGCCGAGATCATGTGACGTCCTAATGACATCCCAATCCCACCATAGTAAAACAATTGCAGGTGAGGTAATCAGGTGATGAATGCATAGTCTATAACAAGCACCGCCTAGACAGATATGCATGTACAGAGAAATTGAACAGATATAAATACTTTGTAAATACACATAGTCCAGGTGCCAACCGAGCACACATACAGGCAGGTAAGCCATTTTGAGCAGCGGGGGAGTGGCCTATCGCTATCGGAAATGTCATGCCGCATATTGCATCCAGAATGTAGGGTTTGGCTTTAAATACAGTCCACGCTGGGATTGGCCGCACACACCCACAAGGGTGTGGAATTGTGGGTGTGTGCGGCCAATCACAGCGTAGACTGTACTTACAGCCAAACCCTACATTCTGGATGCAATATGCGGCCTGACATGTCTGATAGCGATTCCTCCTTAAAATTCCTACCAGACATTAAGGGCCTGGTATGGCTTTTGGGGGGAACCCCACAAACTTTTTTTCTTTTCTTTTAAACAGGGTCCCTCCTAATATTCCTACCAGACCTAAAGGGTCTGGTATTGTTTGGGAGGGGGAACCGCACACATTTTTTTTAATGTAATTTTTTTTTTTAGAAATGTCATTTTTGCTGCAGCAGGTTCTATACATTGTACAGATGTGCCACTTTACAGGCAGTTTAAGAGGACCCCCTCCACCCCCAGGCATGGTATTTAAAGGATTTATTCATTTTTGTTTCACTTTTTAAGTAATGTTAAAATCACTGCTCCTGTAAAAACTGTATTTTTTTTTAAAAGTGATTCATTAATTCATGTGCCCCAGGGCAGTACCCGAATCCCCATACCCTTTTTATGGCCAGTTTGGGGTCAATTGATTTTCAAAGTTCTAACCCCATAGACTTGCATTGAGTTCGAATTCAAACTTTTTCCACGTTCTAAAGTTCAAATTCGAACCGAACACGGGGGTGTTCGGCCCATCACTAGTAGGCGCGAGGTTATTGTGAAATGGAGTATATTTGTCATTATGCACGGAGCCGCGTATTTTATATGCTTTTAATGGTAAGTCTTATTTCCAATCATTTAAAAAAAATATTTGTTAGCGATTAATAAACTACCATTTTTAACTTTTTTGTTTATTATCATGTGACCGTTTTTCTAAAACAATACAGAGAAATGATTTCAGGACAGTGGTGGAGCGCCAGAGCCAGGTCCCAGCTGCAACCGCTGCAACCCTGGTAGTTCTCATGAAAATGCCAAGTATCGGCATTGGTACTCGAAAAGTATCTGTGCATCCCTACTATTTATTCAAGCTTTTTTTACTTTGACATTTTGGACACCTGGAAAATTGTCTATAAGCAGCATAGTCTAGTCTCTTTTCAACAATTAGTTTCTAAGGATGCGGTGTCCTTTGATCCACATCTACAGTGTGGCAAATCATTATTTGATCCCCTGCAGATTTTTTAAGTTTGCCCACTTACACAGAAATGAAAGGTCTATACTTTTTATCATAGGTGTATTTTAAATGATAGAGACAAAATATCAACCAAAAATCCAGAAAAAAACACATGCTACAAATGTTATAAATTGAGTTGCAGTTCAGTGAGTAAAATAGGTATTTGATCCCCAAGCAAAACATGACTTTGTGCTTGCCAACAATGGTTTCTCCACCAAGTATTGAGGTAAGACGTTTCTTGTAGTTGGTTACCAGGTTTGCACACATCTCAGGAGGGATTTTGGTCCACTCTTCTTTATAGATCTTCTCTAAATCCTTAAGGTTTCTTGGCTCTCGCTTGGCAACTCGAAGTTTTAGCTCCCTGCATAAATTTTCTTTAGGATTAAGGTCTGGAGACTGGCTAGGCTACTCCATGAACTTAATGTGCTTCTTTTTGAGCCACTGCTTTGTTGCCTTGGCGGTATGTTTTGGGTCATTGTCATGCTGAAAGACCCATCTTCAGTGTTCTGGCTGAGGGAAGGAGGTTCTCATCCAAGATTTTACAATACATGGCCCCGTCCATTGGCCCCTCAATGTGGCAAAGTCTGCCTATACCTTTAGCAGAGAAACAGCCCCAAAGCATAATGTTTCCACCTCCGTGCTTGACTGTAGGGATGGTGTTCTTAGAGTCATAATCAGCATTTTTCTTCCTCCAAACACTGCAAATTGAGTTAATGCAAAACGAGCTCAATTTTGGTCTCATCTGACCGCAGCACTTTCTCCCAATCCTTCTCTAAATCATTTAGATGTTGATTGGCACACTTCAGACAGGCCTGTACATGCGCCTTCTTGAGGAGGCGGACCTTGCGGGTGCTGCAGGATCTCAATCCATGGCGGTGTATCGTGTTACCAATGGTTTGTTGGGTGACTGTGGTACCAACTACCTTGAGATCATTCACAAGCTCCTCCCGTGTAGTTCTGGGCTGATCCCTCACTTTTCTCATGATCATCCTTACCCCATGAGGCGAAATCTTGCATGGAGCTCTAGACTGAGGGTGGCTGATGGTTATTTTTTATTCCTTCCACTTGCGAATAATCGCTCCAACAGTTGTTTCCTTCTCACCAAGCTTCTTGCTGATAGTCTTGCAGCCCATTCCAGTCTTGTGCAGGTCTACAATCTTGTCCCTAGCGTCCTTTGACAGCTCTTTGGTCTAGCCCATGGTGGTGAGGTTTGAATGGAAGAAAGAGGCTATGTGGACACATGTCTTTTATATACATAACGAGCTGTCATTAGGAGCACCATCCTAAATTGACAGGACTAATCTGTGTACCACATAGCCAGTCTGTGGGAGCCAGAATTATTGTTGGTTGGTAGGGGATCAAATACTTATTTTACTCAGTGAACTGCAACTCAATGTATAACATTTGTATCATGTGTTTGGCCTCTAGATGCCGAAGAGGAACCGGGCGGCAGCGGAGGCACAGGGGGCGTGGCAGAGGCAGAATGGGGGGCGTGGCAGAATGGGGAGTGGCAGAGGCAGAACGGGGCGTGGTCAGAGGATGAACGAGGCGGTTGCAGAGGATTCGTAAATCAACTAATCGATGATGAGAATTGTTGCCAATGATTCTCATTATCAATTTTAATCGATTGAATCCATTAGTTGTTACAGCCCTACTTACATGGAAAATTATTGCTCTTACAGCGCTGACATACATATCAAAATGTACACATATTTGGGGTCCCTGTATATAGGATAAATAGGAGAAAAAAAAATATATAATATAACTTCTACAAAATAAGTTATACCTTAAACAAGCTAAACTGTATTTTTGTCCATTTCTTTGCCTATTATTAAAAATATTTTCAGTGGTCAGGTGCAAGACTTTATCAAATCAGGACTTCACAAGGAGCAGAGCCCGCCGAAAGCCCTGAGAGTTTGTGTGTTTGCCAAACACACAAACTGCCGATGTTCGAGTCGAACTCACGCTTGACTCGAACATCGAGCCCATCCCTAGTGCCTACTCCCTTTACATCATAAATATAGCGACGAATGTCTCCAAAGCATGTGCAATATTGAAGTTGAAGAGCATATCTTAGATCAGTGGACTCAAAGTACCGGGCCGCAAACCGGTACTATGTGGCCCGCAGCCAGCTCAGTAGTCAGATACGCGGTCACGGACCACGTACCAGACCTTGCGGGAGCAACTACACGTCTGCATTCCTGAAAGATGCAGACCGCGTAGCTGCTTCTGTGCCGGCACTCAGATCCTTTTCGGCCGGCGTCTTCGCTGAACGATGGCCGAAAGGATTGATTAGTGCAACAGACCTTACCAATCAACCACTAGAGCACCAGGGATCGATTGTGCTTCCTCCCTGCAAAAGGTAAGCAGGAGAGGGGGCCCTGTATTCTATTTTGTATGTGAGTGTGCACGCGGGGGAACGACACACTTTTTACGACTGTGATTTATATTATTCTTATATGTGTGTGGGGGGAGGCTGGGAATTATATTATTTGTGTATGGGGTGGGGGGAGTGGGATTTTTTATATGTATGGGGGGGTATTATTTTAGGGGTAGTATTTTTTTTCCCTTATGTGTATGGGAGTAGAAGTGTATTGGGCTCCATTCACACCTGTATCTTTAGGTGCAATTAGGGATTCCTGCATCAGGAACATGCGTTTCCTGCAGCAGGAATCCCTAATCTGGCGTTTAAAAGCGGCAGCTGTCAACTATTCAAGTTAATGATCAGGTGACAGCAGTTGCATGTAAACGCCTGCACACCGCATGTAATGGTATGTGATATGATTACATTCGGTTAGGAATCAATCACTCTCAATGATTGTGCATCCAGGGAGAGTGTTTTCTAACGGCATGTAATAATATTACATATCATTACATGCGGTGGGCAGGCGTTTACATGTCACATGATCATCTTGAAGTTTCTGACGCAGGAAATCCCTAATCGCACCTAAACCTACAGATATGAATGGGGCCTTATTGTGATTATATTAGTGTCCATAGTACCATACCAGATATAGTTAAATTTTATTTTAAAGTATGCAATTTGGCAAGTGGCCCCCATGGGAGAAAATAATTAGTCAAGCGGCCCCCAAATGAATTGAGTTTGAGACCCCTGTCTTAGATGATCAGGAAATATTAGGTGCAAAGTAGTAGTGACAGGTTTTCGCGAACAAGGTCTACTTCCTCCAATTGCGTCTAATTTCTATAGGAGAAATATGCAGTGTGCAACACAGCTCTCTCTCCTACACCGCATGTGGCCGGATCAAGTTGTGACACCTAGTGACGAAGGAGCATGGAGACGGCTTCCTGGCTTATCAGGAAGCCGGGCGGCGAGTGATTACACGCCGCCTGGCTTCTCGGCTAATCGGGAAGTCATTACACGCTGCCTGTCTTCCTTAATGGGACTTCCAGTATTGGTATTCGGTAGGGATGCCCCGATACCACTTTTTCAAGACCAAGCACAAGTACTTCCCCTCATGTACTTGCTGATACCAATTACCAATACTTTTTCTTAAAGGGGCAAGTGACATTTAAAAAAAAACAATACGGACTAATGATTTTAGGCCAATTTCTTTATGATTATGAAGAACTTTAATTTAAGACTGTTTTAGAACAATAAAACATTTTTATTTGCTTTCTCACAGCTGTAGTGAAACTACAAATCCGATCATGCATCTTCCTCTGAGATCATTGAACCTATTCATGTTTTCAACCGCAATCGTGTGGGACCGCCCGAGCGGTATTGCGGCGGGAAACTGTGCGATCTGCCTGGCGCGAATGGAGTGTCATTAGAAAATCATGGCACTGCCAGCGCGATCGGCGGTGGTGTGCGATTCTGTGACCGCCGAGCCATCCGCCCGGTTTCGTGCACGATGACCAGGCGGTCGTGGATTGCACACCACCCATCAATCGTGTTGGCAGTGGCATTATTTTCTAATGGCACCCCAGTCGTGCCAGGCAGATTGCGCGGTTTTTCCACCGCAATACCACTCCCCGTGCGGTTGCACACGATCGCGTTTATTTGCATGCAGATGATGGGGGCAGTGGGGCTGGTTTTCATGTTTTCAATTTTTATTTACTTTGTAAATTTTTTACATTTTCATTTATTTTATTATTTTTACTTTATCGCCTTTTAAGTTACATTTTTAATTAGATGTTATTATTATTTACTTTTTTTTATTTTGTAATTTTTTTACTTTTTTAAACAATTTTTTTTTTCACTTAACTTTATTGCTATCACAGAGGAGATAACAAGCCCTCTGTGATAGCATTTTGAGGTGACAAGAACTCTTTATTGACGCTGTTACCTCCAACACAGGAGTTCTAGCACGGCACTGTGCTAGAACTCCTGTGACAGGAACGAGCTGCGGCTCCCCGCCCCCCGCTCTGTCACCGCTCCACGCCCGGAACTACATGTCCCGGGTGTCGGGCAATACGAATTCAACACCCCTGCGGAAGCATCGGCGCTATGTATCGGGTCATTTTCACAAGTGCTTGTGAAAATGCCCTGTATCGGTCCCGATAGCGATGCTAGTATAGGTATCAGGACATCCCTAGTATTCGGTATTGGAGAGTATCGAAAAAAAAAATATCGGTACTCGTATATTGAAAAACTGGTATCGGTGCATCCCTACTTCTAGAATGTATGCAAGCTTGTCTTTTTCTTATTCCAACTTTTTTTACTTTGTATTTATTTTTATACTCAGGTGTACATAACGTCGCTGTCAATTTGGAGTCAAAGTCTGTTCTAGTTGATACAATATTACCAGCACTAGAAGTGCAGAACCTGATTGAGAATTCAGGAAGGAGGGCAGTGCTGAAAGGAATAGGCAGCATTAAATCGGGTACAGTACCAGTTTATTTTTCTGATGTTTCAAGAGAATACAAAGTTCAATTTATACGGACAGGTACTGAAAATTTGCTCACATATCACTTGTATCACCAATAAGGGTTTTTTTTTTTTTAAGGAAAATTTTAGCATACATTGGTATCTTTATGCTAAAATAGAGGGAGTCATCAAAATTGGTCTACAATTTTAAAAACTGCCTGCTGTGAGAAGGGTTTGCATAGGAAGTTGTACTTCAGAAGTTGTACTTCATATGTGTGTGACATGTAAGCTAGTACTCAAACTGCCATTTGTTGTTGTCCCCTGGGGCTTAGTTTATTGCTTCTGGGTACCTAACCCTCCAAATACTTCGGCAGAAGGTGCCCTACAACCCCAAGTGGTCCTTTCTCTAATTTGTGGTGACACCAGATGCCTGCAGAATTAGTAGCCAATAGCAAAGCACTCACAGCAAAATATAATAAATACTTACCCAGTCATCTTCCAGGAGACCACATGAGAGATAGAGACTCCTCCCTTCAGGCCAGGAAACACATCACTAGGTCAAAGGTTAAAAGGCAGTCCCTCTGTTGTCTTCAGTTTTGTGTTTCCTCTATCCGGAGGAGATGTGGTGCATGGAACCTGGTGGTGACGTCTGTATGGAAGAAGAATGGAGTATGTGTTGGTAAATTAAAAATCCTTATTTGTGCACCTTTTAGAAAGGTTCTATGAATTACTGGTAGGAATTTTTATTCAGTTTGCCATGAAAGATTGAGTTCTGCTCTAGTTCTTGCATATTAGAATTGCTTTTTTTTTTTGGCAGAGAACCTTGGGGCAGCTGTGGCAATGATGTCAGGAGAAGAATCTGTACAGGGAGTGGTTCGTTTCTTTCAAGTATCTGAGGACACCTGTGTTATTGATGGGACACTTGATGGCCTGAGTCCTGGCCTCCATGGACTTCATATTCATGAATTTGGGGATAATTCTGTAGGCTGTGAAAGGTACTTTTTCTGGAGTGGGCAGAGGGTTTACAATTAGATGATGAATAAATAAATCCTGGAGTCTAAAATTAATAATAAAAGCCACGCTGTGTGAATGAAACTGCAAAAGTGTCAGATATAATAGATACTGACCTTGAAATACAATGTGTAAAAAGTGCGAAACAAAGAAGAAACGCTGGAAGCATCTGATGCCGAAAACCTCCCAGTGATTTCCTCCTCTCAGGTACAGACTCTCTTGCAGTCTCAGGAGTTGAAAGCAGACAATTCATCCAAATGGCCCATGCGTCAAATAATAAGTGGAAACTCGTAGTGCAGATGGTTTTAAAAGGATACTAAACTTTATTAAAAAAGGATACTACTTGCATATCATAGGTAAAAGTAAGGTTTTTAGTAAGCAGCCACAGACACTGTGTGCAATCGCTCAGCTCCTCTACTCCACCCTACGTACGTTACGTCAACGGGGCGTGACTTCATCAGGGGTGTGGAGACAGGAGCTAGACCGAGTGCATATATTAAGACCAGTTGTAATGGTAGCCACCATATACAAATGGCGGCCATGACATTTCCAAAATTAAAACAACATACTAAACATATTACAACTGAGAGTAGAATACAAAAAAGTGATTGACACTGTGGCACTTATTACCCTTCCTCCAGCTAAGTGGGTAAAGCATTAAAGCATACAGCACAAGGTAAGTGGAAAATAAGTAATCTAAAACAAAACTGTAAACCACCCCAGTATAAGTCTGTTAAAGAAGACAGGGTGATACTTGGATAGTAAAATCTTACTATTGCTGTGGTATTTACACGTAATCGTTTTACCCCATTGAACCAAGATGATGCCAACAGAGACAGGGGTTTTTTAGGGAGGAAATCCCGGTTCCAACGGGACTGGCAACGAGAGGCACCACAAAGAGACAGAATGTATATGGAAGAAAGAGGGGATGTAGATCAGGTCGACAACACAGGAAAAAAAAAAGAGGTTTTAGGGGAAGGTATTATTAATTTGAGTTCTACGATCCTCAGTAAAGAAGAAATGTTGGTGCTTGACAAAGGGCTTAAATATGCACCTAATAAGCCCCTCAGCAAGTTTAACACCTACATCTTTATTAATAAGTTCACTCGCATACTATGTATAAAAAAACATTTTCTAAGGAATCCAGTACCTCCCAAGAGTTCGGAAACTCAAAGTGAATTCAGACATACCACACTGACCAACAAATCAACATTTAACCCAGCCCCTCATAACACTAAATATATTGAAGTATTTAGAAATTTGATAGTCAGAGATTTGGAAAAACTGAAATTGAAACCATCTAGACATCCACAACATCTAAATAAAGGGATTAGAGAACTAGAGAAGGATAAGAATATCATAGTCAGACCTGCTGACAAAGGCGGAGCAATTGTCATTTTGAATAAAGTAGATTATAAGAACGAAATGGCTCGTTTACTAGCAGATGGGCACACACATGAGGTTTTATCTAAAGACCCCACAAGAAATTTTAAGAGAGACCTAGACCGGTTAGTGACGAGGGGGCGAAATTGTGATATCCTGACAAAAAAGGAAAGTAGATTTTTAGCACATTGTAGTGTAGGATTCCAATCATCTATTATTTACCAAAGATCCACAAGAACTTACATCATCCCCCTGACAGGCCAATAGTGAATGGTATAGGTTCTGTCACTAACAAATTAGGGGCATATGTTGATTTTTTTCCTGCAACCTCTCATCCAGAGAAATGAGGCATATCTACGAAACACTAAACACTTTATTCAAACTGTGGAGGGCCTCCCTTTTGACTCTCTGTCGCCTCTTTGTACACTTATTATTAATCATCTAGATGCATTATCTTCTGTTCAGTGGTTGTTGGAGATGGATAATACCATTCCAAAATTACAAAAATAATTTTAGTTTGAAGCGTTGCGGTTCGGATTAGAAGGAAACTATTTTTGGTTTGATGCAAGTTCTACACACAATAGACTAGTGTGGCTATGGGGGCTAAATTTGCCCCCAGTGTGGCAAATTGCATTATCTGGAAGTGGGAGAAGGAGACAATTTTAGACAATAAACCCAGGTAATTGATCATCTATAAACACTACATTGATGACATATTCATGGTTTGGAAGGGAGAGAGAGGTGGATTCCTCTCCTATCTAAATAAAAATTCTAAAAATATTTGTCTCTCATATCACATTGACCAACACAAATTAAGTTTTTTGGATGTTGAAGTTTTTTCTTAGGAACAACAGTTAATGGTGCAGTCTTTTTTTTAAAGATACTGATAGAAATGGATATCTCCCCACATCCAGCTGCCATCATCCATCATGGATATATAATATCCCAAGAGGGCAGTTCTTAAGGATGAGACGTAATTGCACAAAAGACTTGCATTTTGAAGAACAATCTAAAGTACTTAAGACTAGATTCCTACAGAAAGGGTACACTGAAGATTTTTTAGATGCAGAAAAAGTGGCGAGAGTGGACCGTAACTGCATTTTAGCGGAAAGAATAGAAAGAACCCCCCTTGAGGAAGAAAAGAAGTTCAATGGAGCCATTATTATGGATTATAATATCCAGTATAAGGACATAGAAAAAATTATTAAAAAACATTGGAATGTACTCAACCTAGATGTTCAGTTATCGGGCATTTTGCCAGACAAACCTAAATTTATTTACAGGAAGACCACCAGTTTGAAGGAAAGGGTGGTTAAAAGTGTCGTATATCCTCCCCAAAAGAAAAATTGGTTAATTGTCCCTCATTTGATGGGATTTTATTCATGTAGACATTGCTACGCGTGTATGCATACCAAAGGAAATCCTAGAAAAAGAACTAGTTTTGAGCTAACGGTCACAAAAGATACCTACAACATTAGAGATTTTATATCATGTGACACGGAAGGGGTCATATATGGGTTACAGTGCCCCTGTGGCCTACAATATATTGGTTGCACCACCCGCAAGTTAGCCATTCGGGTAAGAGAATATATATACAACATCAAAGGTGGTTTCAAAGATCATTCACTCTCTCTACATTTAAAAAAATGTCATAATAAGAACCCTGTAGGCTTACAATTTAGGGGTATCGAACGAGCTAAGAAAAATTGGAGGGGAGGGAACTGGAAAAGAAGTCTGGCAAAAAAGGAATCTGAGTGGATCTTGTAATATGTTGTAATATGTTTAGTATGTTGTTTTAAGTTTGGAAATGTCATGGCCGCCATTTGGTGGCTACCATGACAACTGGTCTTAATATATGTGCTCGGTCTAGCTCCTGTCTCCACACCCCTGATGAAGTCACGCCATTTGACGTAACGTACGTAGGGTGGAGTAGAGGAGCTGAGCGATTGTACACAGTGTCTGGCTGCTTACTAAAAACCTTACTTTTATCTATGATATGCGAGTAGTATCCTTTTTTAATAAAGTCTAGTATCCTTTTAAAACCATCTGCACTACAAGTTTCCACTTTTTATTTGACGCATGGGCCATTTGGATGAATTGTCTGCTTTCAACTACTGAGACTGCAAGAGAGTCTGTATCTGAGAGGAGGAAATCACTGGGAGGTGTTCGGCATCAGGTGCTTCCTCTACCTGGTTTGAATTAGAAGAACAGCGTATACAGACCCTGGTGGGTCTCTGCTAAAGGTGAGGTGCATTCCAGAAGATTTCTCTGTTGATGGTCACAGGAGACTGAGATTATTTTACATCCAATGTTTTATCTTCTATTTCCTAATGGTCTATTGAAGATCCAGGATCATGGACATTTTTTAACCATTTATTATTTTCACTGAAGTGCATGTTATACACATGCGTTTTTTCTAGTTGTTATTCTTTGCACATTGCATCACATTGTTTCACAGTTAACATCCATTGTATTTGATTTTTCATTATGGATATTTTGTAGCAATGCATTTACACTGATGTGCATGTTATACACATGCATTTATTCTTTGTTTTGCACTTTTTACATTATTTCGCACTTTTTACATTATTTCAAGGTCAGTATCTACTATATCTGACACTTTTGCAGTTTCATTCACACAGCGCGGCTTTCATTATTCATTTTATATTATATATCTGACCACACAGATTTCAGCTGCTGCTTAACTTGATTTGAGTAGTGGCGCGAGGTTTCACATTATTCAAATCCTGGAGTCTATTTATCTATATTTTCACCCAAGATTCACACATTTTTACCCAAGATCTAGGTAGAAAAATATTTGAATCTTGCATTAATTATAGGGTCATCCAAATAGTTTTATTTTTTAAATTGGCTAAATATTAAATATTGCTTTTGAAGATTTAACCCTTTTGCTGCCAAGGATGTACGGCATACGGAGGTACAAAAGTGCTTCTGGCTGGCCAGCTCAGTATGCCGTACGGACCTGGCATTTACAGTTCTACTATAAGCTCATTGCTTTAGCGACCATGAGCTTATAGTAGAACTGTTCCCCGGACTGTCCCCTTCAAATAAATAGCTGTCATCAGTGGCTCACAAGCCGCTAATGACTGCTATCATCAAAAATACCGGGTCTGGTTGTAGGGTCTGTGGCAGCGGGGATCCGTAATAAAATCACCGGCGGGGGGGTCGGGGGAGCAAGCGGCGTCTGGCCGCAATTCGCAAAAAGGCGCAATTACAAATTTGCTAATATTTGTTATTTATTAACTCAATACAGTTTTATCTTTTAGATTTAGTCAGAAAATATTTTTTTTTGTGCACGGATACTGATTTTGGTGTGTTTTAACAATTGAATTGTGTATTTTTATCGGTTTAATATTAATTTGAGAAACATTTGCGCAATTATCGCAGGGCCTACAAATTTCGTATCACCATCTTTTTTTTATTTTACCGGGCCTGCGCTTCCAGAAAATATATGGTTTGGGGGGTCTTTTACAAACGCTAGCAACCCAGCAGTTGAAAATCAAATCAATAGGAAAAAATTGCAAAAATGGCGTGGCCAGCTGATTTGAAAAATGTTCCGGAGGGCTTGGCAGCGAAAGGGTTAAAGGCCTAATACACCCAAAAGTGATATCTTAGTTGTAGATGGAGCCTGGTGGGCTTAGTCTGCTACTGACTTCTTATACATTTTGGATACTACCAACAGTTGATTGTTCATGTTTACCTGAGAGTTTTGGGTTTTCACGGCAGCCTTCATGTGTTACAGCTGTTTCTGTTGTATTCACCAAAATATTTCACCAATAGAGCACCCAAGATATATAAGACATTTTTAGGTATTGGGCCCAAGCAAAAGTGCCAGCATTCTGTAGGCATTTAACAGCTGTTCTGCTATAAACCTGTATTGCAGTTGATATCACATTACACAACCGGGTGAATGATTCAGAGAGGGGGACACATCAAATTCCTCTCTATTAGCAGAAATAAGATAACAATTAATTCTTATGTGTTCCATTTTGGACTGCTAAATATTCAATTGAAAATGCTTTGTTATGTCTGTTTAATACGTACTAAAAATACCTGTTGATTTCCTGTGCTCTCTGCCTCTTGCACAAGGGGGGTGGGTGTTAAGTTAAGAAGAGGTCTGTGTACTTTGTATTCCATCAGAAATTAAGTAGGCAGGGCTGACACCACATGCTTAGGCATTGGGAGCTGTGTTGTCATGTCAGGAACACTATATTTCTGGCATATCAACAGTTATTTTTCTGTGCTTGCAACGTGTTTAAAAGGGATAAAACATAGTGAAATGTGTATGTATTCAAGAGCTGTATTGAATATTTATTTTTTTCCTCTGACATATGTAATAAAGTAAAAATTTACTGCACTGTGGGAAGTACAAAGGCTGCCATTGTTGACCTCCTGAAATTGTTAGTTTGCTGGATATCTCTGGCTTCATTGCTTTCTGTGCCACTGACCTGGAACGAGCATACAAATTAGAAAGAAAGAGTGATTTGCAAACTTTTTCCAGGTCAGCAACTCAGAAAATACCAAAGCTATTAGATCAGCTGGACAGCCAGGCAACCTTTATCCTTCCTGTTGCAGATTAGGGCCTGTGTATATAACCTTTTATTTGCAACAGAATTGCCTCTTTGCCCATACAAGTCTATGGGAACTTAGAACTATTAAACCCTCCGGTTTTTTTTTTGCATATATCTGCTGCTAGCAAGCAGCAGATATATGCAAAAACTTTAAAAAACAACAACAAAAAAACACTTTAAAAGAGCTTAAAACTTACCTGTGTCTTTGCCGCGCGCTCCCGTCCAAAAATCTTAAAAATCGTGGCGGCCGCAAAGGATCTTGGGGTGGGCGCATGCACATTTCAGATTTTCGGCCAGGAGACGAGGAAAGACACAAGGTAAGTCTATGGACAGCATGCACCCACATGCAGGCACCGTGGGACAGGAAGAGCCAGCAAGGACAGAGGAGTCAGCACTGGATTGGAGACCCGCAGCAGCAATGCTGATCGGACAGCTGAAAACGGCAGGAAAGAAGAAGAAGAAGATCAGATTAGGAGACATCATTTAAGGTAAGTGCTTACACTAACATTGGGGGGAGGGGAAAAATATATACTTTAATGTCACTTTAAAAGTAGCTTGAAGTTGCTTAATGCAGTTTAGGTTATCTGCAGGTCAGATAAACCTGTAAAGTCACTCTGAAGCACAATAGTGAATATAAAACTGTGTATCAGAAGTAAAATGTTTGTTAAATAAAGTTCTTGCTGTTGTTACTCATTGGATAATGGGAAATGTAAATCGCTGTATGTATAACATTGCTCTTATTTGTTTCTATAGCTGTGGTGGGCATTATAATCCTCATGGCAATAATCATGGAAGTCCTGGAGAGACAGACAGTGTAAGCAGTTCACCTTTACTTTCTGATATATATTATTTACTTGTGGGAGCCCCAAACATTTAGGCATGCTCTTGCATATTTTTTTCAAACCCCAGTTCAGTTTTCATGTGTTGGACTTAAAATACTTTAATATTTTGCTTAACACTAAGGTAAAATTATATGTTGTATTTTTAAACTGGTTATTTGTAGACCTGTAGACAACCAGTGTAGGGAAACACAACAGAAAAGTATGTTTATGATTCTTTATAAATAGTATGTCCACGACTCTAACCTTCAGAAAGTCAGGTCCAATTTATATCACTTTATGTAAACTGCAGAGAGATTTAAAAGAAGCTTAGTGCTGATAAAAACATGGTGGTGGCCATTTCTATCCTACCTGAAAATGCCATTTCCTTGGCTGCCCTGCTGATCTAAATGTTTTAGTAATTTCTCAGTTACTGGCCTTGAACAATTATGCAGATCAGGAGTGCCTGTTTTTGTCCAGTGACCCAAGACATATTGAAGTCAGATATAGCCAGGTAACTCGTTTTTTCAGAAGAAAGTCAATTTAGTCAGTGTAATGCCAGCCTAAATAGTTATGTATACATATTTTGAGTATTTTTGCACTGTAGTTTACCAACTAGAGACCGAGTAGATTAGTCGCAAAAATTACTTTCCCCAACTGCTTTGCAAGCATAAGATTGCAGCCACATAGGGAGTGCATTGTTGACAGCCAGCTTGTTGACCGGCATTGTGAGAAGCATAACCATTGTGTTGCCCTGTAAAGAAGGAAGAAGAGTCTGCATATGCAATAATCAAGTAAAGCTGGCCAAATGTACATTTTACAAATCCTAATTTTTTTTTAAAAATAACCCACTTTGATAAGATTATTTATTTTTAAGATGATCTCTGTATATGTACTAGCAAAAGTGTGTCTGTTCCAGAATAGGCAAAGATGGTTATATTGCAAACGCTGCTAAAGAAGAGTCTTAGTATTTGCAGCAGACGAGTGTGAATAGTTTGACAAGGGAGCATTATGTGCAGGAGAAGAGTAGAGATTGTATGAAGGTAGGGCTGCAGCTAACGATTATTTTCAAAATCGATTAGTTAGCCGATTATTAAGTTCGATTAATCGGTTAATCAGATTTTTAAAAAAAAGAGAACAGATTCTCCTCCGGTGACCACGTACATTTTAATACACAGTACTAACCTTGATCACGGGGTTCAGACATCAACGCTGCACGCACAGCATGACGAGACGCTCTGATTGGACGAGGCACGCCATTGGTGGCTTGGCGCCTGCGATGTGACGTCAGCAGGAAGCCTGTCCTCCTCCCGCCCCGAGCTCAGGTAGGGTGGAGCAACGTGGTTGCTGTGCGTGTGCGGTACCTGGAGGTCCTCCGGGGAGGAGAAGTGTCGTGCGGCGCAGAGGGGAGCAGAAATGTCGCGCAGCGGGGAAGAGACACGGCGAGCTGCAAGCAGGCAAACTAATCGATGACGTTTTCCAGCATCGATTATAATCGACTTAGTCGATTAATTGTTGCAGCTCTATATGAAGGGAAACAGTATACGGTGAAGAAAATCATTATTTGATCCCCTGCAGATTTTGTAAGTTTGCCCACTTACAAAGAAATCAAAGGTCTATACTTTTTATCATAGGTGTATTTTAAATGATAGAGACAAAATATCAACCAAAAATCCAGAAAAAACACGATACAAATGTTATACATTGAGTTGCAGTTGAGTGAGTAAAATTAAGTATTTGATCCCTTACCACCGAACAATAATTCTGGCTCCCACAGACTGGCTATGTGGTACACAGATTAGTCCTGTCAATTTAAGAAGGTGCTCCTAACGTCAACTTGTTATGTATATAAAAGACACCTGTCCACAGAATCTCTTTCTTCCATTCAAACCTCACCACCATGGGCAAGACCAAAGAGCTGTCAAAGGATGTTGGGGACAAGATTGTAGACCTGCACAAGGCTGGAATGGGCTACAAGACTATCAGCAAAAAGCTTGGTGAGAAGGAAACAACTGTTGGAATGATTATTCACAAATGGAAGGACTAAAAAATAACCATCAATCGCCCTCGGTCTAGAGCTCTATGCAAGATTTCGCCTCATGGGGTAAGGATGATCATGAGAAAAGTGAGGGATCAGCCTAGGACTACACGGGAGGAGCTTGTGAATGATCTCAAGGTAGTTGGGACCACAGTCACCAAACAAACCATTGGTAACACGATACACCGCCATGGACTGAGATCCTGCAGCGCCCGCAAGGTCTGCCTCCTCAAGAAGGCACATGTACAGGCCTGTCTGAAGTCTGCCAATGAACATCTAAATGATTCAGAGAAGGATTGGGAGAAAGTGCTGCGGTCAGATGAGACCAAAATTGAGCTCTTTGACATTAACTTGATTTGCCGTGTTTGGAGGAAGAAAAATGCTGATTATGACCCAAAGAACACCATCCCTACAGTCAAGCTGTCACGCCTGGGTCCCAGCGTGTATGCAACAGGATCTCAGCTACGGAGTTTTAGGGAGAGTTTGACTCAGGGTTGAGTAGTATGACGGCAATTCAGGCTTGAACCTCTGGCGTCACTCACAATCTAACGGTGAGTTAGAGGTTCGTGCATCATATACCGTACTTAAATCAGAGGGACAGTAGTGGCTATTACTTCATAGACCACTAATGAAGGAGTTCATATGATTCATGAAATTAAGATGGGAATTGGACAGATAGCGTCAACTAGGGATGTCCCATACAAGTACTTGTCAAAATGCCCTGTATCGGGCCCGATTCCAATGCTAGCATCGGTATCGGGACATCCCTAGCGTCAACCATCAAAGTAATAGGAGTAGTGCGGTATACGTCATTACTTAAGCAGCAGTAAATACGTATAAGGACGTAATTAATCCACAGGGTGCCACAACACAAAAAGTACTCCAATAGGAATAAAGTCAATGGAAATGACACTTCTAGACCAGTGAAAGGATTTCACAGCATAAGGACTGCAGCTATTGGGTTCAGAGTACTTGCAGTTTGCAGGGTGGTGGTTGCAGAGCGGTGGCTGCTGTAGTAGATCCTCCTGGCAAGCTGTGGAGTGTATAGCAGTCCTGAGGCAATAGGAGGATATGGCAGGTCCCAATGGCTGGTTGGCAGTAGTAGGATATGGAAGATCCCAATGGCTGGTTAGGATGGAGGGTTAGCAGGGCGTTCGACCATCAATAGTGGAACGCCTTGCTAACCTTGCAGGAAACTTTAAATAGCCCGTTAGCGCAGGAAAGTGGATGGGAAGCGTAGCGCCGCTTACGCGTTCCAGGGTGGAACGCATCGGCCGGCGTCATAGTGGGGAGGCGTGACGGCGGTGATACTCTTCCGGGTGCGTTCCACCCTGGAACGCACACTCGCCGCCGGACGTCCCTGGAACCCCTTACACAAGCACGGGGGTGAAAACATTATGCTTTGGGGCTGTTTCTCTGCTAAAGGTACAGGCCGACTTTGCTGCATTGAGGGGCCAATGGACGGGGCCATGTATTGTAAAATCTTGGATGAGAACCTCCTTCCCTCAGCCAGAACACTGAAGATGGGTCTTTCAGCATGACAATGACCCAAAACATACCACCAAGGCAACAAAGCAGTGGCTCAAGAAGAAGCACATTAAGGTCATGGAGTGGCCTAGCCAGTCTTTATAATCTCTTTATAATCCTCTGATTGTGTCTGCGACTCCAAGCCCCAGAAGAAGTCAATTGTGACGTAATGCGCAGGGCGGAGTCTCGCAGACGTGGATTAGAGATTGCATGGTCGAGAGCACAGCTCCTGTTTGATCTGTCTTTGCACCCAGAGAATACGGTGACACGAGAGAGAGTTGTCAAGCATACATTTTTCCCGAAGTTTTATGTCAACTTTCTTCATGTGAGTAGTTTTTTTAAATAAAGGAGTTTTTTAATTTTGCATTTTTACGCTATGGGCTGTTTTTATATTTATTGGATATGGTTGTGATTTTCTGTGCAACGATTGTGGAGAGATGGCCATTGAATAAGATCAATTGGAGATCCTATAAAGCGATTTTAGACCTGCTTAGGTCTACATATAAGGTGAACGGCCCACTGAGAGGGGTGAGCACCTGGGTGATAATTGGAGTTGATGTATGAACTTTGTATAAAGAACTTTTACTGCTGAAGGATAAAGAGTTTGGTGCACTTGGGACAAATCTTGAGCACTTTTATACGTGTGATTCCACATTTGTGCACATCTGAACACGAAATATATGATTGAACCTTCCAGAGGGATGTTATTTACAAGAAGCCATTGTGAACACTTTGATTGCATGTATTGTTTAGCACTTATTTATTATAGAGATTCATTTATTTATTGTTCTAGATGAAGCGCAGCACATACATCATAATTTGACACATTTAGAGGCTAACACTTCTTATAGTGCTTGCAGCTACACAGGGTTTGGCACGAGGTGCTATTTGTCACTGGCCTAGCAAGTCTCCAGACCTTAGTCCTGTTGAAAATGTATGGAGTTTCCAAGCGACAACCAAGAAACCCTAAGGATTTAGAGAAGATCTGTAAAGAAGAGTGGACCAAAATCCCTCCTGAGATGTGTGCAAACCTGGTAACCAACTACAAGAAACGTCTTACCTCTGTGCTTGCCAGTAAGGGTTTCTCCACCAAGTACTAAGTCATGTTTTGCTTGGGGATCAAATACTTATTTTACTCACTGAACTGCAACTCAATTTATAACATTTGTATCATGTGTTTTTTCTGAATTTTTGGTTGATATTCTTTCTCTAGCATTAAAAATACACCAATAATATAAACTGTAGACCTTTCATTCCTTTGTAAGTGGGCAAACGTACAAAATCTGCAGGGGATCAAATAATTATTTGCCACACTGTAAGCAGGAGAGGAGTGGAGATGGTATGAGGGGAAACAGTATTAGCAGAAGAGGAGTGCGGGTTGTACCACGGGGAACAGTAATGCAGGAGAAAATTGCAGAGGCTATGACAGGG